AACAGTAGAAGAAGGAATTGTGTTTAGATAAAACAATAAAAATGCTGGGAAGTGATTATTCGTTAATTGACATGCAATTAAACATGACGAGAAATGAAAGAAAATCGGAACGAAACATCGAAATCGAAATAATTATATTTTTTTTACCTTGCTTTCCATTTAACGTCGTCATCCTCCATTAGTTACAACCTCCTCCCGTGTTGAAAACGAAACCTGAGAATCTCAAAGAACGATCCCTCTGTAAGAATAGTGACAATTGCACAATGGTAAATTAATAATGCGTCTGTCCGATTCGAGAGCGTGTGTGGACCGTTCGAGAAGACAGAAAGGCACGGCCGCAGTGCGGCCGGCACGCGACACTTGGATATCACTTCTCAGAGTAAAATCTCCTTCCTCTCTGACTGTTCCGACGAGACTGAGCGCCGCCGACCACGCACCCTTATTGGGCGAGCACATTGCAGGGCCGTATTCGAATAGGGTGCTCTCCCTCTATTCCCTTCTACCTGCTACCGCTCGCTGCTCGCTCTGCTCTGCGCTCTTTTCCATCAATACGAGTCATCCCAGCATCTCACTCTAGGAACATCGACACGAACGAGATCATACTGACAATGAGAGTCGAGAGACTACCGTGCTTCGGGTCGTACCTGATTTCATGCTATATACGTATTCCAGAGCTTGAACGATAAAAAGCGACCGATTCCTACCATTCCAATCGTTGAGAGCATGGGAACGACTGTACACCAAATCGATTAATTCGATTCAATTTCAAGTGAATCGAATTCGATAATCATTATTATTTAACGAGAAAAGGTTAGGGCGCGTAATTTTCATAAATCGATGATTATCGTAATATTGATAATATTAAGTGAATGAAATATCATTATGTGCGATAAATATAAACAACAATGAATGGAATGATAAACAATGAATGGAAGCTACGACCTTGAAGTTTCGATACATCCCTGCAGAAATGGTTAAACGGGACACCCTTCACAACGTAGGGTAGCCAGATCCAATCGAGGGGACTTTGGAGAATTCCCATTCCCTTCGAGCCGAGCATTACCTCAACGAATAGGGAAAAGACACGAATTTCCATTTTATCGTATATTTTCGTAAGCTCCTAACGATATGTAAGACGATTCGATCACATTTACGAGATACATAACCGATATATATTTTTTTCTCATCATTTTCTCAGAGATATAAGATATAAAATTTTCGCGAAAATAAATCATTTGATTTCGAGTCATTGAATCGCGGCCAAGTTCGAGATACGATGTAATCGTTTAGCCCTTTTCGACTTTGCCTTTTCTTTGTTCACGGCTTTTGGCTTTCGATGAAACGACGAACGAACTATCTGAAAGTATTGAAACCTTTCGCTTTTATACTTCCAAATGAATGCCTTTCGGGGTTGCACGGTGAACAAAAAAAAAAAAGGATTATCGATTGCTTGGCCGAATACCTGCTGCGAGCGTTCTCGCATTTACATATCGCCATTCGGAACTGAATGCGGGAATGTCGATTCTCGTCAATTTTTTATTATCTTCTTTCTTTTTAATTTTTTTTCCCCCCGAAAAAAAAGAGACCCCAAAAAAAAAAAAAAGATTATCGATTGCTTGGCCGAATACCTGCTGCGAGCTTTCTCGCATTTACATATCTCCATTCGGAACTGAATGCTGGAATGTCGATTCTCGTCAATTTTTTATTATCTTCTTTCTTTTTAATTTTTTTTTTTTTCTTTCGAGCATCTATTTATTCGCGAGAGAAGAAAATTGAAAGCACAACGCGAATTTACCGAAGTGATAATTAGGTAGATATGTCAACAGAAAGATACAATTCGAATGCACACTTTTAAATTTAGATTTCAATCAAAAAATAAAATAAAAAATAAGAAAAATTTCGATTTTGTAAAATTTTCGAAATTTCCTTTCCTTCGAAATTTTGATCAAGACGAAGATAGAAAATTTAAGAAGAAAAAAAAATATAAAAAAAAATATAAAAAAAAGAAGGAGAAATATAAAACCGAGGAGAAAAACAAGGACCGGAAATATATGAAGCGTGAAGTTCATACATAGGTAACTGTTGATAAGTGTTGTCCGACACCCACTCAAGATTCATGACCAAAAATAAATTATATTCTTGTTCATTCGTGCATTTCATCGACAATTAACAAGAAACAAAGAAATAGATTCGTAATCAATAGAAAGAAAAAAAAAACTGATAAAAACATTCATTATATTTTGATTGAAGAAATTCGCAAAATATAATACCTACTCATTCACATAATTGTTATTTATTGAAAAAATTTGGTACATTTAACGGTTGATTTACTCTTTTCTATGCTATCCTTTTTTCTCTTGTATTTTCTTTCTTTTTTTGCTCGAAGACCGGTTAGGTTGGGGCTCATGCAGAACAGAGCGAAGAAGGGTGGAATAGGAATAGATGGGTGACGAGTACGCATCTATCGAGCGTAAACGATGCTTACCTTGGTGGCTCGTTAACGATCCACATAACAGCCATTCGTGAGAGTGTGTTTCGTTTTCCCTTTCTTTTGCTTGATCCTTGTAGAGTTAGTCCGTCATCGAAACCAACAGAAGAGGATAACGAGTCCTTTGCAAGAATCGACTCCCTACGTTCCTAACCTATCTTTCGCAAACACCCTTTACCATATTCTGGCAAGACCCTCAAACTCGAACTCGTTTCAACGTTCCCGCTATGGAACTAACGATTGTCTTTTTCTCTTCCACTGAGCAGTCACGCGTGTCATTTTTCCTTATGTGTGCTCTCGACTAAATACCACGTGCACACCCTTTTTAACTCACGCAATTCGTCTAACCACTCAAATTCGTTTAAACGAGCATCGCATTGATGTAATTTACCGTGAAATCCAGGATAGACTTTATGCATATACACATGCGATTTTTAGCTGTACACGTGACTAACAAAAACACGCAGCATTTATGTACTTACGGAATGTATCTGCTAGGAACTAAGGAAATTTTATTTTATATTTGAAAACAATATATTTGATGAATGTAAAAAATAATAGCTAAAAGAAAAATTGAGATTCTAAACGTTCATAGAAATTTATTAAATGTATTATTTCGATGTGAAATTATTCACTGGATTCAAGGGGAATTCGTAGTAGGAGATAACTAGTGAACATATATTCGCGAGAACTCAAACATATAACGAACGAATATTATACATTCTACTTTTACTTTCGAATATCGAAGTAGACTAAATGACGAAACGTGTCTTCAAAAATATTGTCTATCTTATTTATTATTTACAATTCGACATTTGTTTCAGTTTCTTATAATATATGTCATGCAATAATCTATTGTTATTCAACGAGAAACCTGTTGGAATTCCACTTATTGTTATCGCTTCTTCCTCTCGAGCAATTCATTGTATTTAACGAGCAAGATTGCATTACGTATTAAAAAGAACAAGTCAAGAAGCCTCCGTGGCGCAATCGGCTAGCGCGTTCGGCTGTTAACCGAAAGGTTGGTGGTTCGAGCCCACCCGGGGGCGGATTTCTTTTGTCATGATAGTCGTCCTTCAATAAAGATCTTCGTAATAATTGATTACTGACACACCTATTATTTTTTCATATATAATTTTCGTATATTTATGATTAATGCATAATTATTTTATTTTTAATTTATCGAGAATTATATTATTATTCAAACCTACCAAAATAAAAACTATCCCTATCATATTCTTACTCTTAATCTTCTTTTTCTTCTTTTTTATCTTCAATTTTTTTAATTGATTTGAAACTAAAAAAAAAAAAAAAAAAGAAAGAAACAAATGTCATATTAGGCAATATGAAACAAGAAATATTAATTGATTTCTTAGAAATAGTGAAAAAAAAATATTCGCCCAACGTGGGGCTCGAACCCACGACCCTGAGATTAAGAGTCTCATGCTCTACCGACTGAGCTAGCCGGGCTGTTGTAATCTTTGGCGTATTACAACAATGACATTATATGTTAATAAAACAAATGAAATATATTTTTATTTAAGTTATCTCTATATTGTATCATTTGATTTTCTCGTATTATAGAAAATTTAAACAATATAGATATATTTATAAACATTTGTAAATATTTGTAAATTGTTAATATTGGATTTTTGTTTATTGAAAATTATTAAACTTAAAATTTATTCAAAAATACTTAAAATGTTATACTTATCAGTTCGATTTATTATACTTATCAATAGATTTCATATCTTAAAAGGTTTTTGTTATTTCTCAATTTATTTATCGAGATCACATACAATGTAAATGTATGAAACTTTTAGAAGAATTTCCTTGTTTTATGAGGCTTTCTAACGTCTACTTGAGGTTCGAAAGTTAAAACTAGCTTTACTTCACTTAGCTGTTTCTTGAAGACTGTTACCTATATATAAAAATATTTAAGAACTTCCATAACATAATCCCTTCGATATCTTTTCGAAAGCTGAAACTACAATTTGCGTGTCATTCTTAGACATATGTCTACAAATAAAATATTCATGAATTTTGGTAAACGTCTTTTCAAACATAACGGTTTAAATCATAAATTTTGCTTAACCAAACAATTTCATCGAAGGATGAAATTGATTTGAAAACTTTAATGACATACAATTTTTTGCTATAATTTTTTGCATAAAATATTCTAATTACATTATATAATTTTTTCTTTATCAATAGTTGTTACAATTAAAATAATTATCGCAAATAATATAATAGAATTAAAATGATTATGAATTATAAATAAATATTTTTTTTCTAAATAAAATTTAATAATTGTCAAATCACATATATATTTTCGAAGAAATAAGAATAATTTTTTTTTTTAAAAATTCGACAAGATTAAACTTAATGTAATAAAACATAAATCAATTATAAAAAAATATTATCATATATTTTAACTAATAATTATATAAATTTAATAATTTCAATCAAAAATATAACAAAAAATATAAAACAAAAAATATCTTTTTTAATAATTTATGTTTAATATACAATTTTTGAGCCATCGTAAAGAAAGGACTGTCTTTGCTCTTATTCAAATCAAGAATCACTCTAAAAGTTTTTAAGCGTTCAATGATATTTAAGCTATCGAAATGAACTAAAATCAACGATTAAAGATTATAATTATTAAAAAATAATTATAATAGTATAAAAATGATGAATTAAATAATAAAACAAAAATAAATCAAAATTAATCATGTGCAATCAAAAATATTGATCTAATACGAGGACAATGTTGAATCATAAATAAGAAAATGAAGATAACCTATTAACATTTCCATTGACAAATATTAAACTAATAAAAAATTAATTCTCAAAGTAATAATAAAAAGTTTTTGTTTTAAAAAGATCATTCCATAATATAAATATAGAATATGATAAAAAAATATAAAAATAAAGTATAAAAAATAATTAAAAATAGTGTGAACCGTAAATAAAGAAAACAAAATCGTCCCCTCCTCGATAGTATAGTGGTTAGTATCCCCGCCTGTCACGCGGGAGACCGGGGTTCGATTCCCC